GAACAGACCATATGCGAATTAGTATAATCTGAATCCAGAAGTTTGTACTCTTCGTTCAGAAAGTGTAGGTGATCAGCCGAAATACTTGATTAAAAAGATTTATATTCGAAATCTCTCTATGCCAATGTATAATCAATCGTATGCTTTACACCTCTATCGTGTTTGACAATGAATGCGCAGTTCTTTAACAATTTTCATTTCTGGCTGGCAGCCACTATTTGATCCAACCTTTTTCTAAGATTACGAAGCCGAGAGATTAATAGCTGAACAGAACTCAAATCAAATTTAATTTATCATGCTATAATGAACAATTTTACTGATAGTTTTTGCCGTTGTGTTTTTTTTTTGTTCTCACAATTTCTTTTATATGTTGTATCTTAACTTCCTAAGGATGCCTTCATCGTTGCCAGCAAGTTCCCTCAATCGATTTATGCTGTTGAAAACATGGATCTTGTTCTGGAATATGGACTGTACAACACCGGCGATAAGGCAGCGTTGAAGGCTTGTTGTCCCACTCTTTGTTAAATAAGCCACTGAGCGTTTTGTCAAATGGTATCATAATTTTAAGGTAACCCTTGACGATCGACACTCGTTTCCAACGCAGTCATTTGAAATCATCAAGGGTCTTCTCAATGTCCGATTTGAGAGAATCAATCCTGGAGCTAATGCCACTCATTCTGTTGTTGTGAGTAAAACTATCATTTGGCGTTTATTCTTGCAATTTTCATCATCTTTATGGAATGTGTTTTTAGATCCGACCACGCCAATTCGGAGTGTTCAACTACACCTCTGCTCAGGTTACTTACACTTCCGAAGACAGCAGCGATATCCGAGTGGGATACACTAATGCTCCTGGAGAGGGTAAGTCCATTTCTTCCTTTACTTTCTCTTTTTTTTTCGTATAAGGTTACACTGTTCATAAATGCAAGCAATCATCGAACATATCGAGTAGTTTGTGCATAACTTACTACAAAAATGTCCAACTAGTAGTTTATGTAGTTATTTTCTAGAATTTTCCTTGTAGCGTTCAACAATCTTTTTTCTTCTATCATAATGTTTAGGCTACATCTACCGTCTGAAGGAATACGAGCGCAAATTTGCTCCCAAATACATCTATTGGATTGTTTTCTTTATCCTTATTGCACCCACAACTCTCGGATCTTATCTTGCCTATTCGAAGAGCAAGAACAAGTACGAGGAGCTAGCCAAGAAGAGAAACTAGGTCTAAAGTGTAGAATCAATCAGGGTGTTGCCTTTCCTCTAGAGCGGTATTTCTCCTTTCATCTCTGAAAGTAACGTAAAATCAGCGTTTATTATTTTTTTTTATTAGAAATAGTTATGCTTCTCCATTATTTGCTGAACTTATCCCTTTAAGATGATTATCCTGCCCTGTTTCGTACCATAGAAGAGTGTCCTTGTTGTACTGCATGATTTTGATTGGGTGTGATTGTTGTTTTAAAGCCACTTTTTTGTCCCATTTTCATCATTCTGATCTACGGCGGGTTATCGCTGTTTGAAATTTTTTGTTTATAAAAGTTACTGTGATTATATTAATTTTTGTAATAAATTGTTGTGAAATATAGACTTTATGTAAATCGTTAGTTGTAAATAATACTCGAGAGTAACAGAATTGGAATCTAGTGGCTGAGAAATATCAACATGGTTGTAAGTGCACAGCACATAACAAATTTGGATTAGGAAGATACGAAAATGTGTTAGTTGCTCATTGCCGCCATTGTTTCGTAAAATTCATTTCTGAAAAGGTCAAACGCGTATAGTGCTGAGAAAAGCAGAAAACTATCTAAAATTTTCGAGAAGTGCATCTTTCAGTCATGAGTAACGAGGCTTCTGTCAAGTATCATTGATATCTAGCATGGTGATTCAATCCTTTTGACAAAGCTAGATTTCTTGCCCTACTTCTCCATCCAACATAAAAGAAGACGTCGCACCTACAAATTAATCATGCGATTTTTCTATAGAGATTAGATGCCTAGGTTAGAAAATTAGCATCGATAATCATTGCATAGCCGCTCTCATTTTTTTTTCGTCTCGATTATGCGAGGTTTTTTACACATCTCTACATCAGTTACATCTAGCGATGAAATGAATCGAAATTTTTTGTTTTTTTAAACTTTATGAGTAGGTTTTGGCATTTGAGTATTTACGTCACAATTTTTTAACAGAAAGCGCCTGTACTCTATGCAAGTCTTAGTTCCATTAGCTTTTCAGCAGCTCCTGTACTGAAATAACCATATGGGATTCCACAGTAATAATAAAGCAATGGGTAGCAATTACAATCATATGCCAAACTGTTCCTTGCTATCGTGGATACAGCGTTCCCTTCTTTCCAGATAGCAGGTCACAATCTATCTCTGGAGTAGCGATGTCAATCACATTCTGGTGAAAAACATATTTTTAAAAAAAGCTTGTGAAGGGTAGCTGTCTCTTACATTTTCTAATCAATTGTGATGAGCGGACCTTTCCGACATAGAAATTGAAATGTTTTAGTGCCCTGTCTGCATGCAAAGCATAATTCGTTAGGTTCTTTTGCATTAAAAAAGACACTATTTCCAATTCTTATCTTTTCTTTTATTTAAATGAGCCCTTATTCATTTTATTTTGAAAATCTTGCCATTTCTCACCCAAAATTCATAGAATATCTGTAGTTTATATCTGATTTCAGTAATATTCACTGTATTGAAGAAGGAACATGAAACCTTCTACGAAAGCAGCCAAACCTTACTTCTAGTCATGAGTTTTTATAATAGTGCAATTCTGAAAGAAGTACTGAAGTGTCTCATTAAGTCCCGGGTCCTTACAAGTTATAGGCATTATGAAAATTTAATTACCAGACACACGATAACCTCCAGCAAAAATCTAATCTTTTAATGTAAATGAAGCACTATTAGTACGAATGCTTAGCTACGTGCTTGACACAATGATACTCAGCTAATAATGTAAACGAGAATTGTGTGATTAATTTTTAAATAATTAAGAGGTTATTTTTGTGAGTTGTGTTCTGGGTTGAGCAATTTGCCTACAAGCTTCGAATTCTTCGAATATCATACAAAACATTTCTATCTGCAAAACATAGCACATCTTCACATTATAAGTCTTAAGTTCTCTCAGTCCTAGACAAACAACAAAATGGAAAGAAACGGCACAAAAGAAAGCTAAATAAGTCGTGGTTGACTGAGCGCACCACAGTCACAATCCTTGTAATTGGTAGTTTGATTTTCGAAGTGTCAGTAAACAGAGAGTGCTTTATACATAACATTTATCCCCAATCCCTACCCCAAAGCGTTGGGTATGTTTTTTTACGGTTGAATGACAGCTTAGAAGACCGTGTAGTTTAACACGTCCGCAGGCGGAAGAATTGTCCTTGACAAGACGCCATTATTATCCTTCGTAATTGTGAAACAGATTTTGGAAAAGTGACGGACTTTTTTTTTTACTTAAGTGCAGGACTTGCCGGTAGCTGTTAGAAATTTTAAATTGATTTAGGCAAATACACGAAAGTTTTTGCTCCGCCTTCTAATTAGAGTTGAAGTTTCGACCAACAACTGATCGAGCACGTTATTTTAGTACAGGTAATCTAGAA